TCATCGATGATTTATTTCGCAAGTGGACTTTCTAATTCATACAATCTCGGATGTGTTTTTCTCCATGACACAGGACAATTAATGACGTCAACAACACCATAAACAAGCGTCATATTTTTACAAGATAGGTAGACATAAAATGCAAAAAGATTAAATTAAACTAAATTTTTTTCTCGAAGTGTTGAACAAATTTTCTCAAAACGAAATATGCATATACAAACCATTACACAATCACTATAAACAATGTTATTATGAACACTAAGTCAAATGGCTAATTATTCTTAAACATACAATAATACTATGTAACTATAAAAACTAAAGGGTCAAAAGATCATGGTCAATTGCTGATTTTTTAATTGTGCTAATCGTTTAGACATGCATCTCTCTCAAGCATTTTAACCAGTTAGTTTCTTCTGATAGTTATAGGACTTATAACGAGTGAGAATTGGATATCATTTGATAACAACTCGAGTTATCTAATTTCAATACATTAATAAACGAGTCTCGGCGAGTTTATTATCACTATTAAAATTTAAAGAAAAGAAAGTTGATATTAAGTTGTTAAAACCTATTTCTCTCCTAGTAAACAATCTTGTTATGTTAAAATAATTTCTACAAATAGTTGATCTAGTCTTTTGTACACACAAGTATGATTTCATATGTCCTGTTCCGGTGTCAAACTTTTAAAACATTGGACATTTTAAAACTTTTGTAAGATTCAGAATGTAATAAAATTTTACGAAAAGAAGATTTTCATGTGAAAGGTGTGAGTGTTTTGTTAATTATTGAAAACATCGCAATCAATATGTTCATTGTTTTTACGTTTGAAAGTGGCCAATGACACAACCAATAGCCAATTGAAATGTCTTAATATCGTCTCATGGTGCAGGATAAGCCAATACGAGATACCACAAATATATATATGTTATTTATTGTCAAGTTTGATATTTAGATTGTTCATCTCAAAGTCAGGTTCTACACTACTTTCAAGCCGTGTTGCACGTTGTTCGTTCATGATCATGTTGGAGTCGTGAATACACTTCTTCCTTTATAAGTCTGTCCCTTTTTGAAAAATTTATTAAAGTATGCATTTTTAAAAATGCTCTTAAATATTTGTGTGCCTAACAATAATTTTTCGAATGATATTACATATTTCCATTCTTTATTAATCCACATTTCTGTTGAACTTTCACAATCCTGGGACAGCAAAATTACGAAATTAAGATTATATCAATGGTTTCGTTCTCACGTAGTCGCCCAATCTGACAATCTCGATAAGGAAAAAACACACGGAGTTTTTCTTCTTGATGAAAAGGGGCAAATGAAGACGTCAGCCAATGTCACAAATAAACGTCATTTTCATTGCAGGATCTGTAGATATCATATGCATATACGTCTGATGGAATTACTATCCCTTTGCAGTACTTTAGAAATGTTCGTGTCATTATGAAAAGTTCAAACCGGAGGGTGTATATAAAAAGCGATGACCCAATTTACTTCGATATAAACGCTGTTGACGAGCTGAGTCTCACAATATTTAAAGACACTTACGCGGTTGACGCACCAAATCTCAGTCTTTCCTTATTATAGTAAACATATTCTGTTGATGAAAAAGTTTCCCTTCATTAAGAGATAACTACCCTGTTGATGCACCATATCTGACCGTGATGAATATCCTTATTTCATGAAATGTTTAATCCTTTAGAAAAACTTCACCTCTTGATGCACCTATTTTTTTTTTACTGCTCGGTTTGGAGATGTGTTCTCGGTATCTGCCTCTATTTACCTTTATTTCATTTAGCCTCACAGCTTTTGAACAAACGACTAACTCTTTGTTTGCACCAAAGCTAGTTCCTTTAGAGATACACATTATGTCAATACACAAATGGTCACTACATTTGGATAGTGTAACACTGTTTAAATCCATTTGTTGATTAAACTATGAAAACACACCTAGTTTAACTCTGTTTGCAGATACTCATTTGGTTTGGTTCTCATTCCTTGTGTAAAAATTCATACGATCGAAGCCCCTAGTTGTACTCTGTTTACCACAGAAATAACTTACTCTGCTAACGAATTTTGGTTTTGTTAAACTCTCTTGGTTAATGCAGCGAGTCTATCTCTGATCCGTTCGTAGATAATTGCTCTGTTGATACACCTTATCTACCTCATTTCGGATATGATTACTGTTGCTTAACCTATTCGCACTTTGTTGGAGATAATTACTCTGTTGATTCACCTATTTTAACAGTGTTAAGGCATCTATTCTCATATCGACTTATTCTCACTCTGTTTGAAAATACATTGTCTTTTGATGAACACAGAGAAACTGACTATCATATCCTGATTCCCTAAATCTCTTTCCGTGTAGATCTTTTCAAAATTGCTCAGTTGATGCACATGGTCTGCCTCTGTTTTGAAATACGCATTCTATTGATACATCTATTCTCAGTATGCTCGGAGATACTCCTTCTGATTCTTATTCTGTACCTATACCTTTTCTTACTCATTATATTTATGTATTTAGTCTCATTCCGTTTGGAGATATTTATTTTGTTGATATATGACTCAGAATATTGAAACACGCTTGTTGTTGACTATAACAATTAAACAGTGTCAAGATAAAACTAACTACCGCATGTAAATTTTACGACGATTCCCCGGCTTCCTTTTTGCATACTCAACTTAAAAAAAGTTATTTTTCTGCTGGTCACAAGAGTTCCAAGTGTTGAATATGATGTCATCCCTTTTTAAGTTTTACAGACGCCATCACTAGTTGGATGACAATAATTGGATATCCGTTTCACAGATGCTAACAAATATGTTCCTAATGTAGTAATTATAAATACGTACCCTTTTCCCAGATGTGACCTACCCAATTAGACTTATAACCGGGTTAATAATAACATGACCAACACGACGGGTGACACATGGAGCAGGCCCGATTTACTATTCCGGAGCAACTGAGATCACCCCAATTTTTGGTTCAGTTATTGTTGCTCAGTCGTTAGTTTTCTATGTTGTTTCATGTGTACTTTTGTTTGTCTATTGGTCTTTTTCCTTTTCATCCTTAAATTTTCTGTTTATTTTTTACATATGAGTTTCATGCCCCTGTTGTATCTTTCTCCCCTCTTAATCTAGATTAGTATCAAATACTGTAACGAATATAACAAAATATTTTATTGTGTGTTTTTCTATGTTGTGATGTTATACTATTGTTTCAGAAAAGGGAGAAGGTTTGGTACCATTAAAACGTGTAATCCCGCTGCAAATGTTTGCACCTTTCCTAAGTCAGGAATCTGATTACAGTAGTTGTCGTCTGTTTATGTAGTTCATACGTGTTTCTCGTTTCTCGTTTTTATATAGATTAGACCGTTGGTTTTTCCGTTTGAATGGTAATTTTTTGGGGCCCTTTATAGCTTGCTGTTCGGTGTGAGCCAATGCTCCGTGTTGAAGGCCGTACCTTGACCTATAATGGTTTACTTTTATAAATTGTAACTTGGATGGAGAGTTGTCTCATTGGCACTCATACCACATCTTCCTATATCTAGTGTTTGACTGTTTAAAGTCAGGATTGCATGTGTTCCTTGTATTAGGTCATAATACTAGCATAAATACACCATTAAAAGTTAATCATAAGATACAAGATCGTAAACAATATTGCACATTTCGTTACTTCTCGCCTGTATAAAATCTATTGCATATGAAAATATCGTATAGATAGTACACGCTGGTATAGTTTTCAAATTTTAAGCCAGTTTTAATGCTGTGTATGTATCGCATAAATTCTTGATTTGCTGCAAATGCATTAACAGGCAAGGGTAATTATTGATAAAAAATTTATTGCTGTGATTCATACCTGACGATATGTCTTCAGGTTAAGATTTTTTAACTGTCGGTAATAGTTTTGCTTGTTTGTCTGATGTAACAATCTGATTTCGATCAATTGCAGTGATATATAATAAAATTATTTGACTGTTGATGTCCATACTTGCTGTTTGTTTAAAGACATTTAATGATGTATTATAGCCATTTTGTATACGGTACCTCGGTGACTAAGTAGTTTGAGTAGGTTAACTACTGTATCCCTAGTCTGTTAAATGTTTAGGGGTGAAAGTTTTCCTTCCGAAGATCGGGTGTTCTCTCCGGCACTCTTAGTTCCTGCACCAAAAGTCGAACTAAACCTGAACTCCACGCTATATCACAATAGTGATGAAGCAGCGTTAAATACCAATCAATCAATCAATCAATCTTTCAATCAATCTTTGCATATGAGGAAATAATTACACTCGAAAAAAACGTAATGTGTGAGTAAACTTTCCCAATCTTACTTCGACAATAATATAATCAATAATCAATATACTTCATTTTAAAACAGTAACACTATACTTATTTTAAAACACTCAGACACATAAAAATGTGTAACCAGAAGCAAAATACATAATCATATTGATGGTTACTACAGAATAATCTTGACATAATCATGAGTGAAATTACAATATTTTAGCTGACTTTCCAATTTCTTATATGCTAATTTCCTATGTTTTTAACAATAACAGACAGGCACTCAAATAGATAGTGAAATTCATTTCAATGAGAGTACAAATAGAATTATTCTTGTTATTCCAGATTTTATTGTGTTATACTCGGTCAAACATAACTCGATCGGTTTTGTTAAACTGTGTCATTAATCCTTTGAACGCAAAGACACATGTGCATTATGTATACCCCTAACATAGACAAATATGTATTATGTATGCCCCTAACTTGAAACAAGAATCACCATTTCGTATAAAATTGAATAAAGACCTTTAAAAAAGAAAAGTGTGTTTATACAACGTTTTTTTTTTCTCGTGTTAACAATAAGATATGTATTTGATTTAAACGATAATAAGAATTAATTTTGAATTTTTGCCAGCTAACAGCATACAAAATTGAAATCATGAATTGATCTATGTTATTTTTTCTTTGTGTTGAAATAAGATATGTGTTTGATTTAGTCAAGGTAGAAGAAATGATTTTAAATTTCTTGCAGTTAGCAGCATACAGTATTTAGGTAAATTCATTTATTGGAAAATGTCAGAATTGTGCATTCCGTTTTTGATTGTGATATTATGTAGTAATGGTTCTTTCAGTGAATCTTTAGACGAACAACTTAAATTGATGTTCAATAGATCGGATTTACGTTGTCCTAAAGAATGCGAAACCCAAGAATTCCTCAACGAAATGAGATTTGAAAATAGTATGGAATGTTGTACATGTACGGCTGAATCATTATGGATAGTTGAAGGAAATGTAAATGGAAAACTAAATGATACTTATGTTGGACATTTTGATGTCTCGTTTGTCAAAAATGATATTGAATTGAAAGTTAAAGACCATGATGTTCATTTCTATAACTTGATCTACACTTACGGAAACCTCACTGCCGTTCCAATTTCAGTCTGCAATTTTAATACAATTGTCTACATCGACTTGTCATTCAATCAAATTATAGATATCCGAAATATCACATGCTTGTCTCTACTAGATACATTACTTTTGGCGGGAAACAAAATACAATCTTTGAATGCTGAAGTATTCCATGAATTTAAACATCTCAGAAGAGTTGATGTTTCTTTCAACCAAATCACCGAATTGGAACCGAAGTTTTTCCTATATATGGAGGGTAGTATGTTTCATTTTGATCTATCGTATAACAATATGACAGAAATCGACGTCACAAACATGGTTTGGACGAGACAAATATACTTCTGCACTGTTAACTTTTCTCATAATGCTCTGAACGAAATAACAAATCCCTCAAACTTTTCATTTCAACCAGAACAAGATTTCGGCCGTGGGGGATATCTCGACTTCACATATAACAATTTTAGCCATTTTTTCAACTTTGAAAAAATCGGTTTTCATGATTTGAAATTATTTGGAAAAATGCAATTTTACAGTTTCGACTTTCAGTATAACAACTGGATATGCGATTGCAAATTCTATCCATTTGTATCGCAGGCTACTATTAGTTCTTACATTTTATATGCAAGTCATGTCAACTTCAAATGTAACAGCCCACCACAGTTTAAGAATAAAATTATTAAAAACTTCCAGCACTATCCAGATTTACTTATCTGCAACATTTCAATGTCTGCAAGATGTCCTCACAAATGTCATTGCTTCTATCAACCAAGTCAGGACAAAACTGTTGTCAATTGCCGTACGAAATTATCGTCGAAAAAATTTCCGTTAGTTTTACCAGAATACCAGAACTTAGCTTTAGACTTTTCTAAGAATTTAATTTCTGATCTAGATAACCAGTTTGAAAGAACAAAGAATTACACCTCCCGAATAAAAGAAATCAATCTTGAAGGAAACAATATCGAAAGTATTTCGGAATTTGTTGTGTCTCAGCTAAAAAGTACCACGATGATTAATATGAAACATAACCCGATAACAAGTATTGATATGTCCCTAAGAAACTTACGGCCTTGCAATGTTCAGTTAGGACGACTAGATATTGTTTGTACATGTAACGATCTTTGGTTCCAGAGTTGGCTACCGTCATCAACAATGCCTTGCTATAATAACACATGGATATTCTGTAAGACCAACACTGGTTACAAATCTATTACTCAGATTACAAAAAGCGAGCTAGGTTGTACAGAATATTATCATCTTAAATGGTTCAACTTATGTATTGGAATCATAGTTAGCCTTGTCGTGATATTCGCATTTACGGGCTATAACTTCTATATTGAAATTTATATTGTATGGCGACGCTTTTTAAGAAAACTTAGCAGGCCAGTTTCTAGAACCTTTTTTCAATATGATGTCTACATATCTTGCAATGAAGAAGACGATGGACTTCGTAATTGGATATCGAATGAGCTTTTACCGCATCTGAACGAAAGGGGACTTAAATCTTTTCTACCGTATCGCGATTGCCAACCTGGTAGACCACGCGAAGAAGAAATAATTGATACCGTATCGAAATCTAAAAGCATTCTCGTTCTTCTAAGCGACCTACATCATTTAGAACGTGAAAGCACGAAAGCTTGGATTTCTTGTGAGTGGAAATATGCCTGGTTGAATTATCGAGAAGATTTTTTGAAAAATGTTATTATCATAAATTATGACTTTCTATATAATCGTGATGTTTCTAACAGGTATATACAAGCTTTTATGAGAGCTAGTACTTGTATTGATTTTTCTAACTATAGAAAGGATATGTGGTCGTCATTAAATTCTTTGCTAGGACTTTCTTCTCCGAGTTATGGATTTAGATATCATCGGTTTCAAAACAGTCTGGATACAGCTGCGATTTATTTACAAACTTGATGTCGGTATCAATCGGTTTTCAAATATTCACTTTTTACAGTTATCTTTACAGTTTTTGTACATGGAAAATTAAAGTTAATCACCTTTTTCTATGAAGAACAAGATGATCGAGTATTAGTATGTGTATATATAAAATAGAATATAGCAAAGTGCTCTCGACCAATCAAACTGTAAAATTTGGTGTTCATTAAGTATGAAGAATGAATGTAAACATGTTTTAATTAAGGTATAAGAATATTATTTTAACCTATTTACAGTTTAAAAAAAAAAGAACTTATAGAAATGAGTCACAACTGCCAGATGCACATTCATCAAATTGACAGGATTATTGTTAAAAGTTCAGTTTAGAAAATATGTTCGAAGTTTACGTGTGCAATATATTTGGTATCATTTAGGTTATTAGGTGAATATTTTTAGAACTTTAAAATTCCAAAATAAAAATAGCTAACATCAAAGCAATGTAAAAGACGAAAGAAAATAAAAATCACTTCTTCTATTAAATTTAACCTTAATCTTTAGCCAATACGCTTACCAAAAATCCAATTACTGTATCCGCAGTAAGAAGGAATAGCAATTTCAAATATACCGGTACATACATGAGATCAAACATCAAATGTATCTTTTCAATCTTCAAAAACGTTTTCTTTTAATTGTTAAATTTAAGTTAATTAAGTAGCATTTGATGTAAGATGCTGAAATACAATTGGTTTTAGAATGCGCTATAGTGTTGTATCTGTTTTTTGCAGCAAATAAACAAAAAGACAATTCACACTCATACTCACAATTGAGAAACTCATACAATTTCTACCATTCCATTGTACCGTTGTGTCAACTTAAGTCTAAAACACATTTTGTTAGAATTTCCCAAACTAAAAGTACATTTGTACGTCTTCACATCACTTAGACTAATATATAAGTAAAACACATAAGAAAGGAGTCATCGATTAATTATAAACATTGCACTAACAATGGAACAAATTCATGAATAAAACCAATCAAGAGATCATTTGAGCCTTGAGCACTTTACCATATTTTAAGTTTGTAAGAGAATGATTATCCCTTTCTTAATGATAAGTACTCTTTAATGCTCGTACTTAATCATCACGAGAGAGATCATCATTCTATTACATATACACAAGTCATATACAAGTCAGATAACAACCGATCTATGATTTTGAACTAAGAAGAGTAATTGAATGTTTGTGCATTATTGTACTAGGTTAAAACTACCCATTTTCATTTCAAATTTCAATTTTATAAACTTTCAAACCATCTAAATTTAATTTGCTAATGCGATCTTAAAAATAAGACGTTTCAATTTATACGGTTTCGCTTGCTGATCAACAAATCAAACCATCTTGTGGTATACTATTGGTTAGGTTAGGTGATTAAATGATAAGGATTGCATTCAAAGTTTGATTTTATTTGCCTATGATTGGTGTTATAAATATATTTTTATATGACAAACATCTGGAATTTTTTTAACTGTACAGTAAAGAAACACTAATCAGTCTCACGGTGTTGACAGATGGTTCTCAACTTTTGCTACATATCAATTTTACTAAGAATATATCAAATGCTTGAACAACTTAATTCCGGCATTTAACATTGTACGTAAAAGCCTGTTTCTATTTCAAATTCATATTATACACACAATGAATATGATGAACTTTGTGAGTTGTTATCATTTTACCCTTCAGCATTATCATCTAAATTATTTATATCATACTCATTCTGTTGTTTTATTTCATTTTAATTCAATTAAAGATCAAATCGTTTCTCGTGTAAGCAAAAACATCAAAGTATGAATTATTCTGATATTTTTATTAGTCTCCAGGTTAAATGATTGTTAAAAATTGGTAAACTAATATATGTAATATAAATATAAAAAGATATGTTAAGTAAAGTGTTTGTAAAGAAATATGAAATAGAACACTGATTTGAATGAGTGCCGTTTTGTTTTACCGATAACAATCATACAAAGGTACATGTGATATGCATATTCATATGGACTTTAAGTGAAAAGACAAGTTTAATAAACAGCTTTTGACACAAGCGGTCAAGGTTGTCACTTCAAAATAAGTGCCTTTTTATATTTCTTTAGCGATAATTTTGATAAACTCCTTTAAACCTTTTTTTTAATGTATATTACAGAGGTTGCATTGTTACTCAAATATTATATACTGTTGGAAACACAATTATATTCCCAATATTTATTATCGTTTTTGCAAGGTCTCTATTAGATCCATTAATCATATTGTGGACATCAACGTTAAGAGTTACAATAATGCATAGAGACATAGCTACCTACTCGTTCTTCAATGATCTTTTGAATTTTTAACAATGATAACAATGATCAATGCTGTTAAAATAGAACAAAATTGTCCCAAAACTTAAATGGGGCATAGGACTTTTGCTTTTGGTGCCATTATAACTTGGTATGATGTATTTTATGCAGTGCTTTTCATTGTAATTGCTTAACATTTGTAGCAACGGATAGCTTTTATAGCTTCTTCAAGATAATTGTGTGTCTATATCTATATTCAAAGTTCAAATTCTTTCATGTACTATCTCTGTACGACATATATTTTTAGTTTATATACTGTAATGATTATAAATGATTTATTTTTTTGGGGGTAAAAAGGTTTTCTGTTCTTATCATATGTGGTATTCATCTGAATTTGTATGTGCTGCAAATGTTCTGAATATCACACCGTGACGTTACTACTTTTTTTGTAACATTTTGATATACGATATATAATTGAAATCATTGAAGTTTTAAAAGCAGAGAGGGCAGATAACTTTCCGTTTTATGACAATGAAAACCTTTTGGCAGAGTCGTTCATTCCCTAAGCTACTGTTATCACCAATGTAAAATGTTATGATATCTTTTATTGTTCTTATCTGAATGTAATTTAAAATTTGTATTTATGTTTTTTTATTGTGTTTTTTTATGGTGGCGGTGTTACTTCTCAATCTATGTACACTATTTATATTTATTTAGTGTTGGATTATTGCATAATTGGTCTCATGATTTGTATGGTATTATGATGAATAATTTTTATACAAAAACCTTGAATGGTATATGTTTTCGAGTCTTTCATGTATCAATATTGCTGAAGCGAGGTATCATCTGTAAGTAGGTCATGTCACAATTACATTTGGCTGATCATATTTAGAATTATTTACCGCGTATGCCTAAGCTACTGTTATCACCAATATAAAATGATTTGATATTTTTTATTGTTCTAACCTGAATGTAATTTAAAATTTGTATTTGTTGGTTTGTTTATATTATGTTTATTGATGGTGGCGGTGTTACTTCTCAATCTATGTACACTATTAATACTTATTAAGTGTTGGATTATTGCATAACTAGTCTCATGATTTGTATGGTATTATGATACATAATTGTTATATACAATCTTGAATGGTATATGTTTTCGAGTCTTCCATGTATCAATTTTGCTGAAGCGTGGTATCATCTGTAAGTTGGTCATGTCACAATTACATTTGGCTGATCATATTTGGAATTTTTTATCTCGTATGCCTTACGTCAGAGAAAAAAGTTTGGCAGACAAACAGTTATGTAAGAAATGTGTGTGAATAATTTTAAATAAATCTTAATGTCAAATTTTGTTTTAGACTTAATGTCATATTGGTAAACTTTAACTATTTAGACAGATACAGCAGTTGATTTTCTCTTCCGTTGTCAAATTTTCCTCTTTTGTGAATCTAGTAATCTGTATAAAGTCGATTCTTGGTAATTATAAAGCTGTTCGGGAAGTTGTTTCTTTTTTCTTATCTATATCTTTGTATTGATATTTTGTTGAGATCACAGATATGATTTTAAGGAATTTTTATTTCTTTCAAAACGTTTTAAAACTAAAGGAAGGAAATTAACCAGGATATTTAAAGTCTTGTTCATAGCGTGAATATATATCATTATCACACAGGAACTAAGAATTTAGTAATTGTACTCATCACGTTTAGAATTTGTGGCACGAATAATCATGTCAAAAATGGATCGTATATTAAATAATAAAATACAATACAATACAAGACAGAAAAAAAACGTTATTCTAAAGTACAGTTTTATCTCAATTGAGAGCTCTATATAAAATTCTTATGTATAAATCATATAAAGATTCCATTTGTAATATGCATTGCATGTTTTCTTTTAAATTTACTTGAATTTTTGTTTGATCAAGTTTTGGTAATTTTTTTCCTTTTTTTTCCATTACATGTAGTTCCGAGCAAATAGTTCTAGAGATCAAACTGTCACAAGAAGATTGGTTTTAACGTTATTTTGTTTTTTCCTTTGAAACCTTAACTAAAGAAACCATGATACATGTGTGTTACTTTAAATTTCTGACGCCTTCTCGTCAAAAAATTGTCTGCTTCGGTTGGTTAACTTTATTTTAAGATATATAGCTGTATACTCCTATTTTCACACACATCTTTGAATTTCAAATGGACAATATGTTTAAAATATTTCTAACATTGCGCGTCTGGTATCTATGATGAGTTGATTTACAATATCAAGTGCATTTTATTCTTAACACTGTTTAATAATTCATGAAAATCTTACCATTATAATATAAATTGTAGAAAAAGACACTACACGCAGTAACTGTAGAGACTTTTGGTTTTTGTATAAATATGTCAATAAATATTACATTTTATTACTTTTCATGTATTAATGTTTGTCTCTTCGTTATTTCTCGGGTTTTTTTTTCCAATTGCATTGTCAGTTTCTTTCGACTTATGGGTTTGAATATCACTTTAGTATCTGTTGTGTCTCTTTGAAGAGGTTTGCTACTCTGCTTCATGATAACACTTTTTTACATATATATATAAAGGAACTAAAAAAGGCAGATAAAAAATTAAAGGTCCGTTGTTTTTGAGATATAAGCCACTGAATACTTTGAGGGAATTGATGGTCTCTAGATTTTTCTTACATTTAACAATTGTATCTTTTTTTCTTTCAAAAGCTATCTAAGAAGAACAATGATTTTATAAAACTTTTTAAAAATCTTCTTGAATTTTATGTTTCTATCAACAAAAAAGTAGGAGTTGGCGAGCAAACATGTTTACAACATTGAAAATCAAAAGATTCCGAGTATCTGACAAAACGTCATGACACATTCACTCACTCTCATTCGATATTTTTTATCTGGTGGTGTACTTAGTCTCCCTCTGTTTGGAGTAAATTACTCTGTTGATGCACCTGGCCTCACTCCAATTTAAGATACTGAATCTATTGGTGCAGCTGGTTGCATTCAATGTATCTTATAATAAAATCTTTTGATGCATTTTTAACCACATCAACTTGAGATACTTGCTAGGTTGATGCACCAAGTCTTACTTCGTTTTAAGATATATACGCTGCTGACGCTCGAGTCCCACAACGTTGGAAAGTTTTACGCTGTTGACGAGCTTAGTCTCACAATCTACGGAGACACTTTCCCGGTTGACGCACCAAATATCAGTCTTACCGTATAAACATATTATGTCGATGAGAAATTTTCTTTTCGTTAAGAGATATTTTCTCTGTTGAAGCACCATATATTATTGCGACGAATGTATTTATTTAATGAAACTGTTAACCCTTTCGAAGACACGTACCCTGTTAATGCATAAGTTATCTCTCCGTTTGGTGATATTTATTAGGTATCTTCCTCCAGGTTCACCCTGTTTTACATCATTATCATTTAGCCTCTCAGCGTTTGAACAATAGACTAACTCTGTTAAGTCCCTCTGGAGATTATTATTATTATGTGAATGCACCAAAGGACACTCCGTTTTGAGATACTAACACTGTTCATGCACCTTGTCTTAATCAATTTGCAGATAATAACTATGTTAATCATGTTAATATACCTAATCTAACTCTATATTTGGAGATACTCAATTTGTTGATTACTTAATTGAAACTTAGACGATTGAGGCCCGTAGTTTCACTCTGTTTAGCACAAAAGTAAAATTACTCTGTTGACGAATCTCGGTTTTGTGAAAGGCTCTTAGTTCAGCAAGTCTTACTCTGATCCGTTCAGAGAGTTTTGCACTGTTGATACATTTTGTCTTACTCAGTTCGGATATGATAACCCTGTTTCTGAACCTATTCGCTCTTTGTTTGGGGATACTGACTATTCATCTAGTCTCAATCTATTTTAAAATGCTTTTTCAGTTGATGAACCACGATTCCCTACATCTTACAATAATCACAGTACAAGTGCAGTTATTATCACACTGACTCAGTCTTACTCTATTTGGAACTACTTTATGTTTTGATGCCAAGAGAAACTGACAATCTTGATTCCCCTCGCTTCCTGTGTATCAAGTAACAAACTTATTCTTCTGATACATTTAGTCTCCTTCTGTTTGAAGATATTTATTCTGTTAATGTCCCTTACCTCATTCTGTTTAGATATACTTATTTTATGGATATAATTAGTCTCATTCTGTTTGAAGATACTTATTATGTTGATGTCCCTGGTCTCATTATGTTGTGAGATACTTATTCTGTCGATGTCCCTTGTCTCATTCTGTTTGTAAATACGTATTCTGTTGATGTCCCTAGTTTCATTTTGTTCGGAGATACTCATTATAATGATACACCAAATATCATTCTCTTTTGAGATACTTATTCTAAATATACCCCTTATCTCATTCTGTTTGGAGCCACTCATTCTATTGATATAAAATTGAGAATAGAAATGGGGAATGTGTCAAAGAGACAACAACCCGACCATAGAGCAGACAACAGCCGAAGGCCACCTAGTTTCACCCTGTTTGGAGATACACATTCTACTGATACACCTATTCCCATTCTGTTTTTAAATACTCATTATATTAATACATGTACACCTAATTGACTCTTTCCGTTTGGAGATACTTTACCCATTGATACACGCAGTCTCAATCTGTTTGGAAATACTTTACCCATTGATACACCCAGTCTCAATCTGTTTGGAAATACTTTACCCATTGATACACCCAGTCTCAATCTGTTTGGAGATAAATGTCGAGAAGACCGCAGGACCGGCATCGTCGATCTCGAAGTACCATTGTATCCAAGTTCGACGTCACAACGGCGACGTCACCTTATCTTTTGTTAGAAACTAGTAAACGTCAAACTGCAAAGCTGTTGTTTATTTTATTAGAGTGAGATAATAAGAAATCGTCCCCACATTTATGGCGCCGTGACTAATGGAGTTACCGAAGCTTATATCGATTAGAACGGACATTCGCAGTGCCATTACCAGACTTTTATGAAAATTTGCCGAAGCAAAAGAAAGTTCTGAATTCAACAGAGAGGAGCTGTTAGCCACATATGAAAACTTACAACAAAAGAAAAAGTTACTCGACACACTGAATGAACAAATTGTGAAAGCGTTGGAAACAGAGAATATAGAGACGAAAATCGTAGACACAGATGAGTAAACTACAAATTTTGTTACTAAACTGAGACATTTTAGGATATTCATAGATAAAACATCACAACCTTTTTCCAATCAAACATCTACTTTATCTTATAAAGTTTTAAATGTAGACAGTCCACCGTTAATCCCTACTACTTCACCCGAAATATTACAAACAAATAATGTTGTCCCGTCATTGCCACAGTCAAGTGATGCCGCTCGAAGACAAGTCAAATTGCCACATCAATTCCTACGTCAAGCGTTGCTGTCCTGTCCGCTATATCTAGCAATCATCGTTTGCCAAAATTAACATTACCGACATCTAATGGCAATATCTTAGAATGGCCAAGCTTTTGGGATTCTTACGAATCAGCAGTTCATTTCAACCCAACATTGACAGCTGTTCAAAGGTTTAATTATTTGAAGGTCCAATTAGAAAACGAAGCCGCTCAGACAATTGCCGCATTTTCTCTAACTAACGCTAATTATGCCGAAGTTGTAAATGTTCTGATAGAGAGATTTGGATAGACTCACAAAATTACACAAGCACACATACAAGCGCTACTTGATATTACGCCATCCCGAAATGACCTCGTAAGCCTGAGAATTTTTTACGACAAAATGGAGAGTTTATTCAGAGGACTTGAATCGCTTAGACAGACACAGGACTCGTACGGTAATTTATAAGCCCCAATTATAATCAACAAACTGCAGAGAGAAATCGGAAAACATCTCGCTCGGGAGCATGGTACGACAAATTGGCTATTACGAAGTCTTCAATGATGTATACACAAAGAAATACAAATTATGGAAGCCGGACAAGTTACACAGACGTTAATTATAATCATTGCATTGACAATAGAACAAATTCTTGAAAAAAAACATCACTTTACAATATTTTAAGTTTGTAAGAGAAAGATTATTCCTTTCTTAAAAATTTAATTTTGGATGTAACGCATCTGCTGATTGGCTGACAGTGTTTTGTCTATCAGGTCATAGACGGCTTAAAATGGAATTTACAATTAGATTATAAGGAATGACTGTAATATGTTTTTTGTCTATTCAAAATATTATTAAGAATGTGGTTCACACTTCAAAATATCCCCCTACGCGGATTATTCAATGTGCACTATGTTAATGATGTTATTTCTTCATATACAGAAACAATATTACAGCCATTCCTTAAATGATAAGTCCTCGTTAACACTCGTACTTTCTCATCACGAGAAAGATCATCATTCTCTTACATATACATAAGTCATCTACAAGTCAGATAACAATCGATCTGTGATTTTGAAATAAGAAGAGTAATTAAATGCAAGTGCATTATTGTACTAGGTTGAAACTACCCATTTTCATTTTAAATTTCAGTTTTATCAACTTTCAAACCATCTACGTTAATTTTGTGGATGAAATCTTAACAATACGGCGTTTCAGTTTATACGGTTCCGCTAGCTAATTATCAAATCGAACCATCATGTTAACTGATTATATTATAAGGTTGCATAAATAGTTTAATTTTCCCTGCCTCTGATTGGTGTTATAAATATATTTTTTTATATGAACAACATCTTTAATTTTTTAACACCATGATTACAAAAGCACTATTCAGTCCTACATTGACGGATTGTTCTCAACTTTTGTTGCATATTCATTTTAATAGGAATATATCAAACGCTTGAACAAATTTATTCCGGCATTTTACATTGTACGTAAAGACTTGTTTCTATTTCTAATTGATATTCTACACACAATGAACATTATGGACTTTGTGGGTTCTTATCATTTTACCCGTGGGAATTATCATCTAAAATATTTATATCATACTCATTTTGTTGTCTTCCTTCATTTTAATTCAATTAAAGATCAAATCGTTTCTCGTGTAATCAAAAATATAAAATTATGAATTTTTCTGATATTTTAATTTGTCTCCAGGATAAATGATTGTTAAAAATTGGTAAACTAATATATGTAATATAAATATAAAAAGATATATTAAGTAAAGTGTTTGTAAAAATATGAGATAGAACACTTATTTGAATGAGTGCCTTTTTGTTTTACCGATAACAATCATACAAAGGTACAAGTGATTTTCTGTAAATATATGGATATTCATATGGACTTTATATGAAAAAAATACAAGTTGAATGGTTTTACACTAGTAATTTTTTGGTGCCCTTTATAGCTTACTGTTCGGTGTGAGCCAAGGCTCCGTGTTGAAGACCGTACTGTGACCTATAATGGTTTACTTTTATAAATTTTGA